TCATATTTGTTTCCGTTGATTGTTTGATATGAATTATCATTTATATGGTTATAATCATAAATTAACTGTTTATAAACTTTGACAAAACCTTTCGGAATTTTCGGTCTTCATTGCTCTTCGACTTCGTAGTCTATTTTGCCTTTTGAACTATTTTGATTCGGGCGTCATTGAAGAGTGTTTATTAGAAGAAACGCGCGTCTGACGTACATGTTGTACATAATTTTCAAGCTTAATAACATGATGAGTCTATAAACATACATGTATGTATCCTTAAAAAATATTTGTTTTACATTGCAGTTAGAGAAAACAAAGCCTCATTAGCAGATAGCATGTCAATATGGGTAAAATGTAAGTATACAATAATGACGTTGTCTTTTTCTAACCTAATAAGAAAGTCTAGTTAGGGGTTTACAGAATAGAGAATGATGGGCGAAAAAAATAAGGAATAGAGAAAAATGGACCCAAAAACAAAGAAAAGAGAATAATGGGGTGCTAAAATATAAAAAAATAGAGAATAATGGGCAAACAATATAAAGAAAAGAGAAAAGTGGCCTGAAAAAATAAAGAATATAGAAATGAAGGACCCCATCCAGACCCTCTAATGGTGATAGATACAAAATGTGCTCCTGGTTACATCTAGTTGATAATGACGTAGTATATACTTTAAAGAAAAGAAGATATTGTATTTTCTATATTTAACGAAGCATGGAAAGTGGATATACAATATGTTATAAATAAAGTCATCTTGTCATCATTTGCTTTTTGTGTGCTTTAGATATTCAGAAAGATTCTGTTCTGAGGTTTGGTATTCACTGGTTTTCTATCACTTTAACATTTAATGATGATGGATTGCTGATTAACGTCCAGCGGCAAAATAATAGCCATATTCAGGACGAGAACATATTAATGTAATATGAATATTAACCCTACTTGGTACTAGATCGACACGCTGAATCGGTAACGCTTCTATAGATAACGCTGTCGAATAATGTACTTACTCTGGCATAAGTATGCATCAATCAAATATACTTGGTACTTTGTGTCTTTTGTCTTTTTTGTTAGCTATCACTGGTAAATGAATGTTAGTCTGAAACGGTCATTTTGATATTAACATCATCTAAACAGTCTGAATAATACATTATTTGTGTATATTCAATGTTACAGTCAATGTTCAAAATTATCCACTGCGGTAAACTCAGTACTGTTCAGACAAATCAGTAGCAGTCAATTCAGTATCATTTTAGACAATTCAGTATGATGTTGAAGGGTACAGATAAATACCAACTACTGAAAAGTCTCAACATAGAATGATCAAATCTTAATTGACTGCAATAGAACAGTCTCAACAGTACTTAATGTATCACAATTCATAAGTCGGAAAATTGACTGAACGACAGAAAATGACTTAGTGTTTTTTCTGTCTTTTAAGACTTGTTCACAACAAAATGACCGTTTCAGTTCAAAATCGGTTTACTAGTTTATAGTATTTTTGTTTTAAATACGTATCAACCTAACCAGTCAGGCAATTTTCAACTGATTTGTTACAGTTCAGTCTGATTTGTAACATGTTTAACCCCGTCACATTCTTTAATGGGACTGACCTTAGCAAGAGCCTGTAGTTCAGTGGTTGTCGTTGATTTCTATCTGTTATATGTTTTTAACGTTCAGTGTCTTATATAAAACGGGTTGTTGGTTTTCTTGTTTAATAGGCTTCACGTTCTGTTATGTCGAGGATTTGTTAAGCTAACTAAATAGTATTGATTTTCCGCATTGTTAAAGGTCATACGATTACTTATAGTTGCTTCCATGAAATCAGTTGTACTCTCGTTGGATAGTTGTCTAACTGGCAATTTGTTTGACATCTTTTGTTTTTTGTATTGTATTAACCTAATCCTCTTCCTCCATCAGATACTCCAAGTTTTTTTGCAGTTAATCATGTTAATTTAATCATAATATTGAAATAAAATTTGTAATTGAAAACTGTATAATAAATGCATGTTTTATAGATTTAAATCAGTAAAGTGTGTGTTATCAGTACAAATATGTGTTTAGTAACACAATAAAGGTAATGTTTTTGAAATATCGTCGTCTTTGTTGAAAACAGGAATGATAGTTCGGTGTTAATTCGGGTAGATTGATTGATTGTTGCTTGCTTAAGGTTTATTTGTTTTCTATTTCGGAAGGTAGAACGCCAGATAATAATGTAAAATACCAGGACATATATCATTTAAGAATGTCAGATTACACATCTCGATGAGATAGCATTGATCAATAGAAAACTTCACATGACAGTTCATTAGGTGGAAATAAGAATGTATGTACATGAATTATAACCTTTGACGTCTATTTTGTTTAAATACGAATGTGCAAACTCAAAAATTCAATTGATAGTATTTTAAAGGTAAGTAGCTTACGATTTACAATTTAAGTAATTTCAAGCTTGTTTAATGTAACTGGAGAAACTTTAAAAGGTGCTGTTTTGGGGTATTTTTTTGTAACACAAGAGACTTATGCAAAATACCTGGAGATGACGTGTCATATTATACATTTTGTAGTTATGCTGCACAAAATGTATCACATCATATTATTTAGAATAAATGCTTCATGTACATGAAATTAACATTTTAAACATAAGTGATAGTTTGCTTATTTTTATGACACCCCAGTAATTCTCCGTCTGTATCTTCAAGTTCATTTTTGTTCTGTAAGCACACTGAGCCGTTCGTGTAAAGATGAACCTTTGTCAGGTTCTTTAAAATAATCCCCTGTTTTAAGTACAAATAGCCAAGCCCCTAAAATAAATTAATATCGATAGGTAAAACAAAAACATGTGAGCTTAAAATAAAAATGATATTGACTTGAATACTATTTTATCTTCATATTGCCCAAAAACTGCTCGTCAGGAGAAAACAAGAGGTTAATATCAGATTGCCTCTTTGTGTGGAAGATATCCTGTTTCATTGAATATTGTTTGTTTTACGTTCAGTGGCAAATATGTCATGTATTTCATCAGGATGAAAACAAACTAACATAGATGCAAACACTATTTCAGTAAGATCTGCCACTAAGACATTTGGGTATGTTGGATTTGGACCTACATTTTGCTTAGAGACAGGTAATCTGCGAACCTTTAGGAAGACTTCACTAACGTGCAGAGGGAGTTGCACTTTATCCACAAAAAGCATCGGGTTTTACGTTCCCGTTCCGACCGGACATTAGTGGCACTTTAAATATCCCTGCAGCAAAACGGACACTATAAAAATTAAAATGTTATGCTGGAACGGATCAGGATAAAACAAGGGATGACCTTATTCTTTTGAAAATATCAATGGAGGCTTCGTTGATAGTTTAATATTTTATTTCTAGACATGATTTAGTTAAAAATGTGAGCTTACATACATGTACGTATGTGTTTCATCAAAGATCACTTCAAATGTGTTGATGAAGCATAGTAAAATATTTCTACATCTACATGATCTTTAACGTTATATATCATGACATTACCATTCATATTTCTTATTTAAATATTCTAAAATGTTGCTTTCCATATCGCATGACTTTTCTAAAACTTAACTCTGGATTCGCAATGTGGATGGTAAATTTATAGGAGTATACGAATAGATAAACCCTGTCGAGGTATTCGGTGTAAAATCTTCTGTAGTTCATGCAGTTGTATAGTTATTTTCTGTAGACTTAAATTCCAAATGAACAAAGACGTTTTGAATATCGGTAAACAGCAATTGGTTCTAATTTACATGAATTCATTTGAAAGCAAGAGGTTATTGGAATTAATGCAAAACCGCGTTTTTATAACATTTATCAGTATGATTGGTAAAACATTGTGGAGCCGTAACTTTTGAACGACAAAAATAAAACTCTACAACCACTTATTCATATGTGAAATGCCTAGTTCATTGTTGGTTGAACAGTTATCAAGTTCATGCACGGAAACAACATCAAGTGCAGTGTACCACCCATTAACGACAATAACTCCAGATCGAACTACAAAAAGAAAACAAAGCCAATACAAATTTAATTACCATTTTGTCATCAGAAACAACATATTAAATGTTCAAAAATTCATAAATTATTGCATGGAAACAACTGTAGCCGACCACCCGCCTTCCCGTCATACAACTCATAATCAAATAACTGAAATTCACTTGGAAAATCCGGTTAATTACTGAATTTTTATGAATTTTATAGAATTCTAACTGTTTCTAAGTTATTTAAAACACAATTTTAATTTTGAGACAATGCGTCGGTATTCAATATTGACCAGTGAATTCGTTCATACATCATACTAATTTCATTCATTTTCAACCACCATCGTTTAATTCAACAATAATTGTCTTGTTTTCCTACTCTGTCGTGCTATTTTATAAAAAATGTAGTTGATGTTTCATCAGTTGTGTGCTTTTGCTTACGTATAAATCCGTCTTGAACATGCTGAAAATAATGAATGCTAAACAAGATAATAATCAAATTAAATTTCTAAAGATTAAATAACAGCCGTAAAGAATGATATATGTGCACGGAATGTGGTAAATGAGGGAGTATATGCACTGACGAACGGGAAATTACATAGCCATTTACGATGAAAAAAAAAATGCCTTGCACATTGATCGTATCATAAACAAACTAGTTTGATAAACATCGTATTTTTTAATTAGTTTTCCTTATATGTATGTGTCCAATTTTTCTCCTACAATGGTGCCAAACATATTTCTCCTTGACATCCATGAACTTATAATTAGTTGGTTGTAACATCATTGCAATACAGAATGCCCGTATACAGAACCGAGCGAACCCGAACCATCGTGACACCATCTACAACACTTTTCACAAATAGAACAGTTGTTGTAGTGCGTTTACAACGAGGAGTATATGAAATACAGCGTAGATTTTGTCCCAGAATTTGTCCCGATATCAATTATTTGATATTCAATTGTCATTTCAGGATTTTTATAAAACCAAATATGGAATCACATGTGGAAAAAATGAAGAAAATGATGAAAGGCTTACAACCAGTTTCCTTACCGGAATTTGATGGAGTGTTTTACCCATCATTTATTCCATTCAGGGAGAAAGGAGCAGAGAAAGCTTTACAGGATATCACTAAGTTCCAGTCAAGAGACACAGATATAATGATATGCACGTACGCCAAATCAGGTTAGTGTCAGTCTTTCTATATAACTGTCATACAGCGATTCAAATTTAACAAACCTCATTTAAGTTTTATTTATTTGTGTAAATTCAAAAACCAACATGCATTGTGTAAATGTTATTACTATGGGTGGAATTTCTACGAAAGGCATCACATCAAGCTTTATTGGCAGCATATATACTTAACACGGCTTTTTTAGATTTGAGATTGTCAATGTTTAACCAAGCATTCTAGGAAAGCTAAAACGTGTGTATGTAAAATGACGGATAGAATAATTATTTGTTGCAAATCTTTCTGGCAGAGAATATTAAAAGGTTCACACGTATTTAAAGTATTTTTCATAACATCAAGATTAACTTTGTAAATATAAGATGATGGTCTGTCAATGACAATAGTTAGCACAACTTAACGGAATATGATTTGCTACAAGTGAATGTTGACATCTATTCTAAGTCGACTGATATCACTTGCTTTGCTATTTAATGATTTCATATGTTAGTTTACTTTTAAACAAATATATGTCGACAAACTGATAGCCTGCTAACTTACTATATATTAAGCAGTTCTGAAACATCTGCAGTTCATACTTAGAAACTAGACTAGCAATAAAGTATTACTGAAATATTTATAAACTAATCTCTTAAGATCAGTTTGAATCAAAACGGTCTCTAAATAGTTAGGTCATGATTAGCAAGAGACACTTACGCTGCTGGTGGTCGGTTTTGAGTTCATACAGTTCCCGAAGACTCTGTTTTACCTTGCTTTAATTTTCTTAGTGAATGAACTAATATAACTACAAACAAAACCAAAACAGAAAAAAATAACACCAATACATACAAAGCAAGTCTAGAATTGCCATTCAATTCTAAAATACTTTTTTCTCGCTATTTCTTTTTTAATATTCAGGTGCAATTGATACATAAAGGACGGTTATAAATTAACTATAATTATAATAGATAGGTTTTGCAAGATAGATCAGCCTTAGACTGTTACCGGAAAGTTAAGGTATATTGGGTCTGAATAGATATTTTGCCTTGTAAAATGTCACCCAAGAACCACAAGCGCGTCGCAGAAATGGTTCCTTAACGCGCAGAAAGCGTTGCACTTACACTACGCGATGCATCGGATCTAACGTCGCCATTCAGACCAGACGTGGCTGCGTATTCATACATTCTACAGAACTGGACGGACATCCAATTTAGCAAGATTTTTACTGGCAGTCAGTTAAAAAGCCAGGGATGACATATATCTGATTGTGTATGATTTTTGTAAAGACGCCGGAAACAACACCATTGCATACAGAGAGAAGCAAAAAAACAGGATTTTTATGCGTGTTGTGTTTTGATCACTATTGAACCGTACGTTGAACAAATAGTGTTTATATTTGTTTGTCTCTCGTGAACAATTTCCTCATTGACCATCATACTACATGATCTGTGTTTTATACAGCTTGACCCATATAAGTTATCTCCGAATTACAAAAGGATTACTTTTATGGCTAATTTTCTTTATTGCGAACAAATTTGTATGAATACACAAATGCTTAGTAACATTTTTTGTCAATACTTTATGTTTTTCGTGGGCTATAACGCCGACAATAATCGCCCAAGAATTTGAATAGATTCCTTCTTACTGTATTAGTATTTTGGCTTTTTGAAAGATACCATCATATGTGTAAAAGTCACATTTAACTAGTTATTTTCATAGGTGACCTTATGCTGTTCTACAGGGTCCAATTCAATATCACTGTAACATTGTATGAGGATCATGTCTTGAAATCAATCTTTAAATTATCTTGTCTGGAATTTATCTATAACGATTTTTAACGCCTACATTCTATTGCATAGGAACACATTGGATCAATGAAATCACCAGTATGTTAATCCGAAAAACACCAGAACTCGATACTGCAAGCAAAGGTATGACGATGCTGGAAACCATTTCCGATTTTTCTATCACAGATACCCTTCCATCGCCTAGACTTCTGAACACGCATTGCTTGTGTCAGTATCTACCTAAGAAACACATCGAAAATAGAAACAAAATAATTCACATGATTAGAAATCCGAAAGATACTTGTGTTTCATACTATCACCATGCAACGAAAGACCAAGTATTTCTCAGTTTTACTGGATCTTGGAATGAGTTTTTCGACATGTGGATATCAGCAAACTGTAAGTTTTTGAGAAGAGACTAGTATATAAATAGAACATAAATCGATTAATTATGCAATATCATTTAAAAAAGTATTTAATTAATCATTGTTTCACACGAGGCCTTCAAAACTGACCGTGATTGACGTAAACGAGCCAAGGGGTCAAACAAATGATCATTGTTTAAAATTCTTTCTGGCAGAGAATATCAAACGATGTAACACTTAATTAAAGTGTATGACATTACATCATAATTAAATCTGTATATATAAGATAATGGTCTATCGATATGAAAATGCATCAAAACTTAATAGAATCAGTTGTGTTAAGGGATAATGTCGATATCAAGTTTGCATCTACTGATTATCACTTGCTTTGCTATTTTAGATTCCTTAGGTACTTGTGTGTAGTTTCATGATGGTCATATGACTACTTATATATTTGTTCGGTTTCTTTGACACGTGTTTTTTTTTGTAGTAAATGTTAGATTGTATGCAATACTTGCATTGATTAATTCTTATTCAATACGGCAGCATATATATTATTCCAAACTACTGTCTAATCGAATGAACAATTTTTTGTGAGCTATATAGTTAAAACTGCTAAAGGATTTAAATAAAAGTGACATGCATATCACTTCCATCTTTCCTTGGATTGGTATTTATGAAATTAAAAGTATCAGAAAGATTTACCCTCCATTTCCAAGTATTTATACATCCCTGATAATGCGCTGACATCATGTCTTATTCCCTGATTTTATTGCTATTTTGCTCTCTTTCAAAACCGTTTACTTGACGAAATCTTCTTCTCCATATATGACATGCTTAAAAAGTCTGTGCGCATAAGATGTTTATTGACTTTGTATATGTTATTATCTTTTACTGTTTTATATACACCCATCGGACCGGAAATCAAAATTGTATCATTGTAAATTAGTTGAAAAGTAAAATCTTTGAGTATATCATAAAGGAACGTTTTTCTTGTATATCTGCTTTCTTTATAGCTATGGTATGAAATTTTCAAGGACATTTTTTTAGGTGCTTATGGATCATGGTACACTTATGAAAAGGAAATTGAACAAGCAGAGAAAGATTATCCTGACATGATATTCACTTGTTCATATGAGGAAATGAAAAAGGTTTCTTAATGTTTTTCTTCTAATTGTTTTTTTTTCGAATACAGTAGTTTTATCTTACCTGTTTATTTCAACTATATTTCATATAAGACTTCAACAAAATTTAAGCAGCCTCTACACTTAGTTCAAAGTTTGGTTTAGAAGGCAAATTTATTTATTGTGTTGTTTTTTTTTCATTAAGGTAGAAAAGTAATAAATATGATAAGCAGAAACAAACGACAAGGATGTGTACATTTCCGTTTAAATATTTTTTTATGTTCGTAAATGTATTAATTTATATATTCAAGTACATGAACAGTCATTTTTATATTATTTCTTTCCACGAGTGAGTATTGCATAGACATTTTTTTTAAAGACGCGTTTGTATTGACATACTATTCCTACTTGAATGCAAATAACACTTTTGAATATATCTTATTCTTAAATAAAGGAACCCACTAAAGGAATACGGAGGCTTTCCGATTTTTTACAAATTGAATGCACAGACAAAACCATAGAAGATATTGCCAAAGCAACATCATTTGAGAATATGAAAGAACATAAGGTAGATCCAACGGCAGTAATAGACGGAAATTCAGAAATTTATCGAAAAGGTAACCTTTATCCTTTATTTTATGCAAAAAATAAATCTTACTGTTGTGTCAAATATGTCGTTTTACAACAACAGGGCATTTGATTGTCCATAAGTATTTTATCCCAATATTTAAGAGATCCTATTTCTTTTGATAATGGAAATGCATTACTGAAAAAGTTTAAAAAATAAGATATAATTTCGATACCAACATTTATGTCTTCTAGTAAACGGTTTGGTTTTGAATAGATGAAAAAAAAAGTCGACAAGAAGAGGAGCACAATGGGTCCCCATATGAATGCCGATAGTCTATTGAAAACACGTCCTCCAAACGTAAGACTTGTGTTTTTAATACAAAATTAAAAGCATTGAAGGTCGGTCAAGGATGTATAGTTACTTAAAAATATGAGCATCTAATCAAAGGAAAGCTAAAAGGTGTCCTGTGTTTATTAACGACTTAAAACGGGTAACATTTCCAATTAACATCGCTGTCTCATTTCTGTCGACCAAAAATCACAAGAACGCATGCGTATAAAGTTAATAAGAATGCTGAAGATTTTTATAAGAACTATTTACTAGTATTTGATAGATCAAATGCATTACACTAGCGGAGTTTTACTGATATGTCTTGACGTACAAAATTAACAGCTCAGTATCTTCAGTTTTTGTTTTTTTGTTTGTAATAGTACTTTCACGGGAAATAACAAACCTCATCAATGTTTTAGAACATGTATTGTCTTTGAACAAGTTGGTTGCAAAAAGTTTTCCTGTACAGGAAAGACGGTGCCTTTCTAAGTTTCCATAAAGAATTTGAATCATTTGATAAACTTTCAAAGTTTTATATATTATTTCTGAATATACGCTTTATAGATTATCGGTTAGTTGTATTTAGTTTTCTAGTCGCGGGACGGCCAAAACAAAGACTTTGGTATTTGCATTTCTGTATCTGGGCAGGATGGCAATTATTCATGCAAATTGTTAAACTGTGAACTAGCACGTTAACGTATAGGTAAGTGTGTTCGTCTAAAAACAAAACAGGGTTAAATTCAAATTACACTTATATGTTCTCGTCCTCATAAGCATGCAATATTTGTCAGCAAATCATCCATCCATCACCATCAACATCATCAGAATATACATGTACCCCCGTTTTTTGTCTAATTATTTGAATAAACTACAAAATATTTTTTTCTTGTTTGTACATGCAATATATCTTATTATTCACCAGTAAAAAATGAAGCTTCCTACTAACTTTTATTGACATATAATGAATTCTTTAACATAGTCTGATGAAAATACATTTGTGTTTAATTTTCCAAACATAATCTTCATTATCATCATATTTCAGGAATAATAGGAGATTGGAAAAACCATTTTACAGTAGCACAAAATGAACAATTCGATTCCCAATTTGCACAGAAGTTTCAGGACAGTTCATACAGAATTTTGTTTGAATGAACCTTTTGAATAGAATGTGACTGTTTGATAAAAAAATGCATGCATAAATATGAACAGGTTTTGAATTTTAGAATAATATAATAAATATTTGTATTCGACCTTTCATATTTTATAACAAGATTTATGTACTTCCATTAAGAACATAGAAGATTATTGACATTATGTTGGATGTGAAGTATACGTGAACAAGACAGCAACAAAAACGTCAAATAGAGGATAAAAACAGAGAGCTCATCAAAAGACAGCTGACTATTTCTAAATCTTCAAATAGCACCATCTGTATATAAAAAGACTTTTGGAATATTTCTGTAAAAAAATGAGAGACGATGTGGTATAATTGCATATGAGACATCCTTCTATCGGAGAGCCAAAAGCCATAGAAGTGTATATGTGTATGCATTTTCTCTTCGTAGAGTCTTCCAAAACGTGCGTCTGGCTTACACAATTTTAATCCTGGTATTCATGATGATAGAAAAGAAATGATATTGAGTTAATTTACATATTTATAAAAAGTAGTTTTGATTTGCACTTTCTATACATCAGTGAACTGTTACCGTTGTATCCTGTGCACGAACTATACCACTGTGTAGCATCACCGCCGGATATAGGCACTCCCAAAAGAAGGAAACAATAATAGACAGCAGTACCTATTCTAATCGCCGTACAGTAAACAACTATTCGCCGCTACTCGCCGTACAATTTATCCGCTCCATTTACATGAATATCTCTGTGTAAACAATAATAGTTTATTTCAAAATATGGTGTTGTGCAAGCTTAGATATGTTAGACCTTTTTTTTCTACGAAAACGTCAAACGAATAGTTGACGGATTAATGTGTTTTAAGAAGTATTAACTCATCATATAATATAATCAGCCCTAAATAGTGGCTACACTATTAGGAATCACTATCACAAACTTTACTTGTCAGCAAAACGTAGAATATAATAAAAATAAGAAGAAGATGACCTTACCTAACTTTACCTTTGTTTTTTGTTGTTTTTTTTTTCGCGTCGGGGGTACCTAAAGCCTGTAGTGATGCTACACAATGTATACGTCTGTGTACACATAAATACATAATGTATAATGCTGTTCATATTGCCGGACTTTAGATATGTTCAAATCCACAAGGACGGGAATGTCTATGTATATATGTATTGATGTTAGGAAATGTGAACTTTGATATGATTTTTACTTATTTAGCGAGACGAGTAGTTTCAAAAGCTGTTCGTTTTGGCCTGTCAAGCTTTACTTTGCCTTTATCAGCAAGAATGAAGCTTTATAGACCAAATCTAGTAGTTTTTGAAACTACTCTTCTCGCTTAACAAGTCGACAATATATTGAGAGGTTATATTTTATTTTGACAAAATCTTGTTTGCAATTAAAAACCCGTTGCACTGTATCTCAACACAGAGAACATGATGTATGTAGTAAATTATCTTCTAGATACACAGCATACACAAATAATAAATTGTTTAATAAGGTCTAAGAATGTTTAAAATGTAAAGAAACAGGGACGAAAAAAAAACCACATCTGATCGCAAAAAATTGAGATTAAATACCTCCGAGTTGAAATCAAGCGATATCCAATTATCAGTCGTTAAACAACTTATAATTATAATAAAATAGCTTATGTTATCCATAAGGACGGTTCAAGAAAGTCTCAATTATATTTTCTCAAATTAATTGTCCAAGTGTGTAAACTGCATAGAATGTTCAGCATTTTGACACTACAATAAAGAAACATAATTGAAAAATCTGATACAGATTTTATTTAGAAGATTCATATAATTCTAACAAACTTTGATTGAAAACGGAATTATTATTAGTTCCAAGAGCATCTCTGCACTTTTCCAAGCTAGTATGGATGTGCATTGGATTAATTGGTTTAAAACATTATGGCTGTGTACAGTGAACAAAACAAACAAAACATTTTCCTTACATTTTTATTGCATATAATATATTACAAAGTGTTATTACGATCAAATAAGGACACCAAATCTGATCTATGGCCCTATTGGTTGACAAATAACAACCGTGGTGGTTAACTATTGTATGTTATTTATGTTTGTATAGATCAAATGGAATGCATGGATTTAATTGACCTATCTGAGCTTTAATTAAATTCCAAAGTTTTTGTAGATTTTGAAAGTGTTCAACGGCAAAAATGTGATCAGGTGTAGGTGTACTAACATACGATGCCAATTTATTGTTGCCACTCGCCGAAAAGCTTCCAATTGTCCACGCAATGACAGTTGCTTTAGCATGTACAGCAGGCAATATTGTAGACAGAGGTTTCCCACAGTTATCTGTTCCATCAGTTAGAACTAAAACTTCATGTCTAGTACCTTCACCCATGCCTGAAAAGATCAATAAACAACATTATATTACCGTTGTTTGTTTCTGGAAAAACGAAAACAAAATCCTTTGCATAAAAAGAACAAATGCATGGGAAAAAAATCTAAAGTTACATGTTTGACACGTCCATCATCATTGATAACCACGCTTTTAACACACACGCACGAGCATGCAAACACACACATACACCAGTCAAATATGACAAAAACAAAACAAGATGATGAATACTAGTAGATAAATTAAAAGAAAGACATTTTTAATAGTTTCTTAGTTTTGTGTGCATACATGCTTGTCTAGACCTTTTTATCTAATGGCTACTGAGCTAACTTTAATTCTTTGACTGATGACTGGTACTGCAGTATTGGTATCTTCCCCTTTTAACTGGTTAAATAATACCTTTCGATGACTAAAACATCTGTATAGCATTGTAGAAGGCATCTCCTGTACAAGTCATTCCACCTAGATATGTTACTGACTTTATTGCTGCCTTGATCTCTAATATATTTCTATTATCATCAATACTAGAAAACTGAATAAGTGCTACTCGGTTATAACCAAAACGACTGTTTGAACTAAAAGCATCTGGTAGAAGACATAACAGACTTAAAATATCACCTATTTGCTGTTTAACAATAACAAAGTACCTGGACCCAAGACTACCAGACGAATCGATGATTATTAGCAAGTCTCTGAATAAACCAATCGAATTTGCTCTTTTTACAATCCCATCAGGAGAGGAAATTTGGTTTCAATTTTTTTGGCAGAAATGTTTTGATGGTTTGATAAACTGTTGCTTGAATCCTATATTCTTTCGCTGTAATTGATATTTATTATTATATTTCAACAATAATTGTCATTTTACCAAAAGATAAACAATACCATCGTCCCCCAACATCAATGCATGTCGTATTTTGTTGATAAATATATTTCATATAAACTTCAAATTTCTCCCGACCTTCCTCTCGGATGGCCTCTATTGTAAGACCTATCAATTGTATTCATTGTTAACTTGTTCTCGTCCTGAACATGCATGCAATATTTGCCACTGAACGTTAAGCAACCAACAATCAATCCATCAATCAAAAAAATGATATTGTATAGTGTATCTTTCTATGTTGTGATGTTACACCAGTATTTAAGGTTAGAGTGAAGATTGGCGCCTGTTAAAACGTTTAAACCTGCTGCATTTGGTTACTCCTGTCCTAAGTCAGGAACCTGTTGTTCTGTGGTTGTCGTTTGTAGGTGTGGTTCATGAGTGTTTCTCGTTTCTTATATAGATAAGAACGTTGCTTTTCCTGTTTGAATGGTTTAGTAATATCACGGGCCCTTTATAGCTTGCTGTTCGATGTGAGCCAAGGCTCCGTGTTGAAGGCCGTATTTTGACCTATAACAGTTTACTTTTTGCAAATTGTTACTTGGATGGAGAGTTGTTTCATTGGCTACTATACCACATCTTCTTATATCTAAAATCATGCTTTAATAATCGTATATGATTTACATATCTACTAATACTTAAATGTAAATGGTCCGTTAGAATTATTTTCCTTTTGTGGCAGTTCCAAAGACCTACATGTACGTTAGTAACCATAGTTAACTGTCAATTCTTTTGTGATATTTCGATGCGCAATATATAGCAAAAAAAAGTGGAATTCCACGAAATGTGAAATTCAAATGGAATAATCCGAATAAGTTTAGTTGAAAATTATATGAATTTAACACATTTTTTGTTGTTGTCAAGAGTACTGATGCGTAGATTAGACTTGTCCATTGTTGTCTGTTGATTATAAAACTGAACATAATATTCCGTCGGTCTTCTTTTCAGTTGTAATTGCATCAATTACCACTACCATGATGTGTGCTTTTCCCTTAAGAATAAGCAAAAAATGAGACATAATAGGATTTGAATAACATTTATCTACGTTTCCATGTGAACAAACATGTTTCAATGTATACGATGTTATACCTTTAAGGAGGTGTTATCAAATTCTATATATTCATAGTGTATACAAAACTAAGTAATTTTTTTAATTAACCACTATTCCAAATATAAGTCATATTTATCTAGAACAATGTACTATCAGAGTAAAAATTGCCGTTTCATAAATCTTCCTTTTACCTACATATCTTAAAAAAGTCGACAATTGTAGTAAAACGTAATGTAAATGTTTATAGTGTGGTTAGATGTTAAAATGTTCTGATGCGCGTCGTGTGTGCCAATTTATAAATCAAGTTTCTTTAGTGAGATCGTACCACACTTAACTCGATGTCACTACTGGCGGGCGTCTCTTCCTAGATGTTACCATCCACCTAGTAGTCAGCACTTTTGCATGTTTTGTGTTAACATGATATTTCATTGATATGTTCCGTTTCTGTAAATTAACTGTTATAACATGTTGAATTATTTGAAACACTTTCAACTTTTTTACCCCAAAGAATTATTAAATACTTAATGTTTAGATTTTAACTGATTTCCTAAGATAAATGCAATCTTTCTCAACATAATGAATAGAAAACCTCATTAAAGACAAGGCTTATTTTTGTACGGCATGCGGGCGTTTCGTCTACAAAAAACGCATCAGTGACTCGAGTTGAAATCAAGCGATATCCAATTATCAGTCGTTAAACAACTTATAAGTATACTAAAATAGTTTATATTATCCATAAGGACGGTTCAAGAAAGTATCAATTATATTTTCTAAAATTAATTATCCAAGTGTGTAAACTGTATAGAATGTTCAAGATTTTGACACTACAATAAAGAAACATAGTTGAAAAATTTGATACAGATTTTTTTAGAAGATTCATATAATTCTAACGAACTTTGATTGAAAACGGTATTATTATTAGTTCCAAGAGCATATCTTCAATTGTTCATACTAGTATGGATGTCCATTGATTTAATTTCGAAGCTGTGTCTTCATTTTTTAATACATTATTGACTTGTACAGAAAAAAAAAACACAAACAAAACATTTTCAAGAAATTTTTGTTGCATATTATATATAACAAAGCGTTATTACGATCAACTTAGAACACCAAATCTGATCTAGGGACCTATTGGTTCACATATAACTACCGTTGTAGTTTATTATTGTATGTTATTATTTTTTTCTATAGATCAAATGGAATGCACGGATATAATGGACCTATCTGAGCTTTAATTAAATTCAAAAGTTTTTGTACATCTTTAAAGTCTTCAACTGCAAAAATGTGACCAGGTGTAGGTTTACTGACATACGATGCCAATTCCCGAATGCCACTCGCCAGAAAGCTTCCAATTGTTAATGCAAATACAGTTGCTTTAGCATGTAAAGCTGGCAATACTGTTGACACAGGTTTCCCACAGTTAGCTTTTCCATCAGTTAGAATTAAAACTTCATGTTTGGTACCTTTACGCATGCCTGAAAATATCAATGAACAATATGTTATTACCGTTCTCTGTTTCTGGAAAAACGAAAACAAAAACCTTTGCATAAAAAGAACAAATGCATTATAAACATCATTGGAAAAAAAACATGTTTGACACGTCCATTATCAATGATAAACACTTTTTAACACACACACACACACACACACACACACACACACACA